CTACACCAGACTTACCAGCTGGAGGCAGCTCTCCACACTGCAGGCCAGGTTTCAAAAATTGGATTGGTATCAGCCAATATGCCTCCTTAAAAATCAGCTATCAGTATCAGCTGCAAAATTCTCTATTGGTGCACCCCTACTTCTGAGATGTAAAAAACCCCAAAAACAAACAAACAAAAAAACCCAACTCCCAGCACTGTATCTGGATATAGTCAACACACAGATCATTAAGAGAAGGGTTTTATTTAAAACATCAATCAAGTAATTCTTGAGTTACCTCATCAAAGTCTTCGCCAAACCCTACAGGTTTTGAAATAGCTGTTGAAATCTCATCTGCCAATTCCTGCTGTTCTGCAATGTCCTGCATTAACTCATCTACTTTATCAATATCCCTGAAGGAAGAAATATGGAAAAGGTTAAGTCATTCACTTGCCTGGCACTAGCCATTAAATTACATTTGCTGGCTTTGTGGCAATGCCACTTCCTGATGACATTTCAGACATGCCTATTCTCAACCCCATCCAGATCTTTTTGCCAGTTACTTTATCACGAGCAATCTCTGTTCCCTACCTCCTGCCAAAAACTGCTGCTACTCACTGCTGCCGATAAACTGCTACTTCTACCCTTTGCAGACATAAATGATAATGGCAGGCACTATTTCTAGACAGCACAGGAAGCTGCCATCTTCCACAAGAGCAGCTTGGTTTTAGTTTTTAGAGACTTTTGTCTCTAAAAGGGCAGCTGAACAAAAACAAAAGGAAGGCATTTTAACAAAGAACAGCATGTGACCTCACTCTCACTGAAAATAAGGGGGGTTGCCAGAGTTTCTGAAAGCTGACAATTCTTCGTGAATTTTTCAGAAACATTAAAATGCTTCAATCATATGATTATTCTGTAGGGTCACTATAGGGCTGAGTTAAGGTTATTTGCCCTAATTCTGCATTTTCATATCAGAACATGCTGGGATTTCTCTTATTTCTGACTCATTTTTCCTGGATCTATAACATTTGGTTTTGCAACAAATACATCTTTGTAATTTAGTTTACTGTCCATTACTGACATACACTCTCAATCTTTATGTAATTTTTGGTTTTTGTTGTTGTTGCTTTTTTGTTTTTTGTTTTTTTTAGAGGTGCACCAATGTATCAGCTGCATATTGGATCAGCACCGATAAAAGGGAAATTTACATTATCAGCTATCATTTTTTTTTGACCATTGTAGCCAATAATGTTTTCTGATAAACATAATTAATTGTGCCTTCTGGCCAGGGCCCCCAGACGCCTGGGTTCCCTCTTCCTTGTGGGGCCAGCACTCTCAGATGCCTGGGTTCCCTTGAGAAACAGCGGGTTTCCCCTTCCACAAAGAAAGCATTCCAACTGCAAGGGGTCTTGCTTGGGGCTGCTGGGAGTGAGATGCCGAGGGCACAGCATACACATGCACAGGCACATGCTTGCACATGGCCAGGAAAAAACAGCCAGGCAGCAGGAGAGCAGCTCCCTGCAGAGAAGTCTATGGAGATGGCAAGGGGTGTGTGGGGGTGGGGAGAGGGACAGAACCACAGGAGGCTCATCCAGGGGACATGGGGAGATGCAGCTCCCTGCCACTGTGTTCACCCCCTAGGGGGAGGAGGGATGCGCCCCACTAGATGTGTGGCAGGATGGATGTGGGCTGCTTGCTGTGGGCTCACGGCTCTCTGCTCTGCTGCCTTTCCCTCAAGAGTCCCATGCTGGCTGCGCACTCACTGCTCAGCTGGCAGCAGTGGGGGTGGCAAGTTGTGCCCCCCACTGCTGGGCAGCCAGGGGATGCACGGCTGGTATAGGGCCCCCGGAGCAAAAGCAACAGAGCAGAGAGCCCTGAGCCCATAGCTGGCAGTCCGTATCCAACCTCACCCCACTCAGCTCTGCTTAAGTGTCCCTGTGCTTAAAAATGGTGGCAACGGCACTTGAACTAAAGCTCATTCACCAAGTTTTAGCTCACGTGCTCCTGCCACCATTTTTGCAGGCTGCTGGAGTCCACCAAAAAGGTTGATGTCAGTACATTTTAAAGTACTGACATAAATAAACCTTTTTTTTTTTTTTGTTCGCTCCAGCAGCCTCCAGCATCACAGTAACCAAATCAGTTACCGGATTGGTATCAGTTGATGTGGCTTGTTAATAATCAGCTATCGGCCAAGAAAACCTTTACTGGTGCACCCCTAAAATTTTTATTTGGCATTATACTGAACAGAAGAAAGAGATGAATTGCTATGAACTATTTTAAACATGACTTAAGTCTCTGCTGGTATTATATGGATGGTGACAGAATACATATTTGAAGTCATTTTAGATGATACTGACAGAATTTCTGTTTTAACAAAGGAGTAATGTATTTGTCAGCAATCACTTCATACCCTGTGGTACATTTCCAGATTGAAAAATCCCAATCTTTTACATTTTGGTCAATATGCAATTTAATCTAACGCTAAAGAAATAGAAAGATTTTACTGCTTTGCCTGGAACCGCTACAAAAAATGAAGTCAGTCATTTCAGGCAAAGCATTTATCAGATTGAATGGGACCCTTGCTTTTTATTTTATTTGTAAAACTACAGGTTTGCTTTCTGGAAGTACTTACATGTTATCATGAGCAGCTTTCATAGCTTTAGCAGCAAAGCCCATATTTTTGAGTACTTCAGTATTGGTGTTGGCATTTTCAAGGGCTTCTCTCTGGAATTCAATTGTCGATAACGTACCATCTATCTGTGCAAGCTGCTTCTCATACCTTTTCTTGCGCTTTAGGGCTTGAAGGGCAGCTGAACAAAAACAACAGCAAAAGAGATTTACATGATGTGTCCAAAATAACAATTCAATTCTTGTAATAAAAGCCATTTACAATGCATTGTTTAATTCATTTAACTAATTACACCTTCTGCTTCTCTTTCTCCTTTAATTAAAATTTGTTACTGTTGTGCATTGCTACCTAAACAAATGTAATAGTATCCATGTTCCTGATGTCCATTTATGGAAAAATAAAATCTAAGAACAGTAACCAAAAGCTTTGCAGATGAGTTGCTCAGGGAAAGCAAGCAGCAGAGTTTACCTGGGTGGTGTGGTACAAGTGAGGTCTGCTCCCCACCCCCAATCTGGCCCATGGCTGCCCCCAGAAGCATTCTGCATGGGGCCAAGCCCTGCCTACTCCTATCCAGGGAAACCTGCACCACACTGCCACCCAACCCACACCAGTCTAGATTGCACTGCCCCAGCTCCTGCCCTGGCCAGCATGCACAGCTGCCCAGAGGGGCTGCTGCCACAGCTGCCCAGGTACTGCTCAGCTCCCCACTGCCTCCAGAGGCTCTTCCTTCTGCTCCTCCTTCCCCCACCGTGCCGTTTTGGGCAGCAGGGAAGCTATGGAGACCCGTGCCAAGCAGCAAATGCCCAGCAAGATGGGTTGGGGTGGGGGGGGAGGCAGCAGGGAAGCTGCAGCCACGTGGACTCCTGCACCAGTGCATGGGGCTCCCACTCCAGGTTGCCTTCCATTCCGTCCATCCGGCCAGTGCAATGAGCAGCCATCTGAGGGCAGCTGAGTGGGTAGAAAGAAGCCGGGAGTGTGGCAGCAGCTGCCTGGCTTCAGCTTGGTGTGCAATCCCTGTCATGTGTCCCCACGGCCACCATTGCTTCCCCATGCTACCTGCTGCCTGGAGCACCACAGCAGGAGCAGGAAGAGGAGCCACTGGAGGTGGGGAGAACAAGCAGTACCTGGGCAGCTGCAGCAGCACCAGAGGCAGCAGCACCAGAGGCAGCTTCCAGGGAAGCAGCAGTGTGCTGTGGGTTTCCCCAGGCAGGGCTTGGCCTCATGAGAAGCACCACAGGGGCTTCCATGAGCCAGATCCAATCAATTGGTGGGCCAGATCCAGTCCATGGTCCTTATTTTGCCCACTCTTTATGTAGGCCTTGGTATAACAAATGCTAATTGCACAGTTATGATTAGGCTGTAGGCTCAGGCACCAAAAGTAAATATGCTGGGCTGTCTAAAAGTGCACATTAATTCTAAATGAGCAAGAGCAGTTAAATATACAACGATCCTGGACTTCAGGAGGGTGGACTTCAATGAGGTAAGGAGAATAGTCAGGGAGGCACTGAGGTCCTGGAGGGGAGAGGAGTCGGGTGTTCAAGAAGAGTGGTCTTTCCTTAAGGATACAATCCTCCAAGCCCAAAGGGAGGTAATCCCAACAAGGATCAAAGGGGCAAGAGGGCGCAAAAGCCCCCATGCCTCACCAAAAGCATACAGGAATGTCTCCTAGTTAAAAAGGAGGCGTACACCCAATGAAAGGGAGGGGCCATCACCAGGGAGGACTATACCTCAGTTGCTCAGGGCCACAGGGGTGTGGTCAGGAAGGCCAAGGCGGAGATGGAACTGGGACTAGCTACCTGGATCAACGACAACAAGATGTCCTTTTTTAAATACACAGGGGGTAAAAAGAAGGTACCAGGTAAAGTGGGGACTCTGCAAGACACGCTAGGAAATCTGGTCATCGCACCAGACAACAAAGCTAACCTATTTAACTACTTCTTTGCCTCCATTTTTTTGAGCAGGGACAAGGTCACCCCCCACTGGGACCCCCGTAGGTCCCAGGGGAGGCACACCCAGACCTAGGGTCAGTGAGGATCTAGTCAGGGAACTTCTGGAGGGACTGGACGTATTTAAATCAGCTGGTCCGGACGATCTCCACCCCAGAGTGCTGAGGGAATTAGCAGAGGTCATTGCGGGACCACTGGCACAGTTTTACAAGCACTCGTGGTGCTCTGGCATGGTGCCAGAGGACTGGAAAAAGGCCAATGTGGCTCTCATTTTCAAAAAAGGGAGGAAGGAGGACCCAGGAAACTATAGGCCAGTTAGTCTTACCTCGATCCTGGGTAAGCTTTTTGAGAGAATTATCCTGGCGCATGTCCATGAGGGGCCAGGGGAGAGGTTATGCTTAGGGGCAACCAACATGGGTTCATTATAGGCAGGTCTTGTCAGACCAACCTGGTGGCCTTCTATGACCAGGTCACAAAATCCTTAGATGCAGGGGTAGCAATGGATGTAGTCTTTCTGGACTTTTGGAAGGCTTTCAACACTGTCTCTCACCCCATTCTCGTTAAAAACTAGGGGACTGTGGTGTCGACACCTACACTGTCAATTGGGTCACTAACTGGCCAGAGGGCCGCATCTAGAGAATGGTGGTAGATGGGTCCTATTCGACCTGGAGGGATGTGGGCAGTGGGGTTCCGCAGGGCTCCGTCCTCGAGCCCACACTGTTCAACATCTTCATCAGTGACTTGGACGAGGGGGTAAAAAGCACCCTGTTCAAATTTGCAGACGACACTAAGATGTGGGGGAAGCGGGCATGCTAGAAGGGAGGAATAGGCTGCACTCAAACCTAGAAAGGTTACAGGGGTGGGCAGATGAGAACAGGATGGGTTTCAACACTGACAAGTGCAAGGTGATGCACCTGGGGAGGAAGAACCAGCAGCATACCTACAGGTGGGGGAACTCCCTTCTCATCAGTGCAGAGGCAGAAAAGGATCTTGGAGTCATTATTGATGCCAAAATGAACCTGGGCCAACAGTGTGGGGACGC